GATGGAAATCAGCATTTCTTCCTACCTCTTCTTTCAAAAAAATAAAACTAGAGAAAAAGTATTGTTTTTCAGAAAAAAACTATCCTTGAAACTCCTATCTCTAAAATGTCCTTGAAAGCAAGAGATCAGTGGTTTCTTTCTGGCTTAAAAATGTGAGACAGAGAAAATTATGGGATGAATAGTAAAGAGCACCAAGTTTGTAGTATAGAAAAAGTTCCTTCTTTCTCTTGGGTCAAAGCAGAGGAAGGAAGTTAAATCTTTTGTTTCTGGATAGGTTTTCCAACTCCAGAATGGGGATATTTACCTGGTTATAATTTCAAAACATCCTGAAAGCAAAACTCTTATTATGCAGAATTCTCTTGCTCAGTAAAGGATGCCAACATGGAGAATTATTTAGATACTCTTTTTTTAATTTACCAAATTATATACCCTTTCAGCATTAATGTCTATTAATTACAGAATGATTTCCAACAATATATATTGTTTAAAACATATGGAGGGACAGAAAGAAACTTCTCAAAGAGAAAGTTTAATTACAGTATGAAATTTAAATATACATTGCTCATATCATATTACAGAATTCTTACCAGATTTTGGATAAGTGACTGAACATATCACTGTCCTGAGTTCAAATTTTTCTACTGCCACAAGGTGCTCAGGTTTCACCAAATCTTCTGCGAAATTAAGGTAAAGATAAAGGTTCCCTCACACATATGTGCTAGTCGTTCCCAACTCTAGGGGCAGTGCTCATCTCCATTTCAAAGCCGAAGAGCCAGCGCTGTCCGAAGACATCTCAATAGTCATGTTGCCGGCATGATTAAATGCTGAAGGTACATGGAACACTGTTACCTTCCCACCAAAGGTGGTTCCTATTTTTCTACTTACATTTTTACATGCTTTCGAATTGCTAGGTTGGCAGAAGCTGGGTCAAATAAGGGGAGCTCACTCCGTTGCATAGCACCAGGGATTCGAAGCGCCAAACTTTCTGATCTACATTAAGCCCTGTGAAACTAAGCCCTTTAAAATCTAATGATTTTGCATATTGCTTTCCCCCCTACCAAGAGTAAGAGTTGAATAAGAGTATCTGCAATGAAAGAGAAATTAGACCAATTTTTCCATTTTAATGCTAGCAACTAGCGCATAGGCATACTGTCAAGGTGTCTCACTTCATAAGCTCTTGGTTTCAACCATTAAGAGCTGGTAGTCAGCAATGATCCCCAAGAAAAGACAACCTGGAGAATGTGGATTGTTTTTATACAGCTGTTAAAATTGTAACTTAAAATGTTACATGTAAGGGTTTCAGTCTTATCATAAGAAAAACATACAAGGTGGAATTGTTATAGCTGCTACATATTCCTGGGAGATGGAGAAGGTTCTGCTTTGGCTATCAGCTCCTCAATTCTAGCTTCTCTTCACTGAATAAATTATTAATTTTTTCAGTCTATAATGTGTGCTGTGGAAAATATGGAGTCAATCTTGTAATATTGGTATGTGAACATGATGGATCTTGGCACCCACTATGGCTCTTAACCAACTAAGGTAGCCACAGACTTTTAAGATAAACTGTTGTTTCTTTAGTGGCTTTACCATGACTGTTTCTGCAAATATGGTTCAAGAAGAAGAAAATAAACTTAAGTGGAATCTTACTCCTTCTGCCTTGTGATTGATTTACATGAGTAAAATGAAAAGTTGGGTTTTTATAATACAATTTATACATTGTACTTTGAGAGAAAAAAACTATTTTCAAAAGATTTCCTTTAATAGGTGAACACAAAAAACTACTCAGATGCAACTCTATGTGTCATTCTTGATTCCTTGAGTCTTACATATATCTTGCTAGATTAAAGCAATAACCAGCATAATTAAATATACTTTGTGAAAAACTAGGAAGGGCCTCCATTCACCCTTTTCCTGCTTATCAAAGACTGCCAGCTTTGCTTTCTCTTTATCCTCTAGGAGGGGGCCTACATTTCACCACAGATTATTTTTAATCATTTTTGACATAACACAATTAGCATCTGGAGCCTATTGGCTTTAAGATGTTCAGTCAGATGTTCAGAAGGCCTCTTGCACTAAAACTGGTGGTCAATTATACACTTGCTCAAGATCAGGCTGACTCTGGGTCTACATATAACCCTCTGGAATATTCCTTTGAAGCTTGAGTTATTACAAGATTAAGTGGAGAGAGCAGTGATTTTCCTGCTCCTCTGGTGATATACAATACAGGTGTCAAACTCGATTACATCGTGTGATGTATCATGATATTTTTTGTCTTTGTGGAGCTGGGGTAGGTGTGGCCTGCATGTGATGCATTTGGCCTGTAGACTGTAAGTTTTACATCTCTGAATTATGCAAGAAAGGGGAAGAATCCCAATTTCTATCAAGCTTCCTTCAGTGCCAATTTTTCTTTTCTTTTAAAAGAGACTTCTATTGGACCTTTAAGCTCTTTAAGAGATGCATTTGGCCTCTAAAGGGAAATTTTTACTTTTACTGCATGCTTTTTCATCTGTGCACAATTCTGATAAGACCAATCTTTTATACCCTAATTTCCAAAGCATTATTGTGATGAAAACTGATTTGAGGTTAATAATTAAGATTTCATACCATTCTAAATATGCTCAGGAATTCAAAGAACTAATCTGATTCTGAATTACACTGAAGGTCCATTGGCACTATTCTCAGTGTCCTGATCTTTCAGTGAAATATACAATTGACATGACTGTCCTCCAACACTTTTCCTGACAAGACAAGAAAGAATGTCCTTTTATGCTGCTCTACTTAGGCAGCCTCACTTCTCTAATATTGTGGATGTCGTCATCTAGCCAAACTTTTCCAAATGGGTCAGTAGCACCTTCATCAATTCTACTAATTAAGCTTACACCAACAGTATCGTCAGTTAAGGATGATAATTGAGACCGGAATTTCTGCTGCTAAGCAATGCAATCATAAGGAACAGCATCAGCATCACATTGCTTAGTGATGACAATTTCAGCATTCTTCTTTGTTGTCATTAAGTAAGTACTGTGTGTTGTTAAAACAGGGACTTCTCGCAATTTCCTAGCAGTTTTCAACAAGCAAAGTCAATGAGGAAGCTGCCAGGAAGTCACAAGTCAAGGGCAGCTCACAAGCAAGGGAAGAAGGCTACATGCAGCCAACAGCTATTACGTGAAGGCCAGGCATGTTTCAAGGGAAGAAGGGAAGAAGGCTACATGCCAGCCAACAGCTATTACGTGAAGGCCAGACAATGAAGATCAGCTGGGGACAGCAGAAGCATTAAAATGCAGGGCAGCTCTGTGAACTCTCCTGCCATGGCAGCAATCTTCCCTAAACCAGCTGTGAAGGGCCAGGTGAGATACGCTGAATCAGCAGCAAAAGAAAGAAGGCAGTGAAGATCAACGGTGATCAAGGGTGATAAAGTGCAGAGCAACCAAAAGGGCAGAGATGGTTTGATAAGATGGAAAAGAATTGAAGTGCACCTTGTGGTCATAAATGTGAATTGTCATATGTCCTTAGGGGACCTGCAATGGCTATAACTTCAAGCACCAGGCATTAGTATCATCACAAAAGTTCAGCAAAAGGACTTCCTGTAATTAGAATCCTGCTTTCTTTGCTAAACATTTCAAAGTAAAATCTGACTATTGCTGACTACTGCTTGAATTATAGGCTGTCCAATGCTCTGTTGAATTAGTAAGACACAGAAAGGAATGTCCATGGTGAAATTCTTTCACAGCAGTATATGCTAGGCCCTCTGGCATGCTATTATTATGTATATGATAAATGATGCATAAGTAAAACATGTAGTGCTAGAGCAAAGTAGAAAGATATTCTAATAGTATAAAAATGTAAAAAGATAGGGATAGAGCTATTATTCAGTGACATTTTAATTCAATTTCTGTACTCTGCACTGGCACCTCCATTTTTTGTATTTACAAATTCTTCCTACTTCTCTGTATGGATTTTGTTTACAAGTTCAGGGTTTGTTTTTCTCAGATCAAATCTTAATCCATTGATTGTAATAGGAATTGACCAAACTGGCTTATCTCTGGAGCCTGGTGGTGTGGACTGAGAGAGAATGACTAACCCAAATTAAGCCAGTTGATTGTCAGCCTATGGCTGGATAAGAAGTTACAAGTAGTGAGTTTTAGTCATACGAAAGCCAGATGGGTGACTTTTGCTTAGTCATTCTTGCTCAGCCCAACCTACTTCATAGAGTTGTTATGGAGAAAATAGGAGGAGGAAAGAATATAGTTATGATTGCTGTCTTGAGTTATTTACAATTTATAAAGGTAGGGTATAAACAGATAAGTAAATAAACAGTTACTGTAAACTTTAGGGTTTTTAAATCAGCCAACTGCTCCTGTTTATTGGTGCTCTCATTTAATGTGAAAAAATATTGGGAGTGGAGGAGGAGGAAGAAATCGGTTAAAATTTGTTGTCGATAAAACACACACAAGGCTTAAGAGTTAAGGTGGGTTTATCAAGGCTGGAGATTTCTAATACTTTCTTAGCCTTGGAAACAGGCTTTAACCGCAATAATACAAGAGCACACAATAGATATAAACTTAAGGTAAACCGCTCCAAACTTAATTGCAGAAAATACAACTTCAGCAACAGAGTGGTCAATGCTTGGAATGCACTGCCTGACTCTGTGGTTTCATCTTCAAATCCCCATAACTTTAACCTTAAATGGTCTACTGTTGACCTCACCTCAGTAAGAGATGTGCCTAAGTGAACCACTGTGCCTACCCTCCCTGTCCTACTGTCCCCATTTATTTGTATCCATTTCATTCATACACATGTTTATTCTTATACCTATTGACAAATCAAATCAATAAATAAAATAAAATATTATTGAGGGGCTAAAATGAAGGGGGATTGAAACCGTCCCAGTGTGTTTGAAGAAATGCAGGCAAAAGACAGAGAGAGGGGGGGGGAGAGAGGGAGGGACGGAGGGAGGGAGGAAGAGAAAGAAAGAAAAAAGAAAAAATGCCACCTTTCTTAAAGCTTGTGCTTGTATTGTATTTGTTGGGTTATTCCCGATAGCGAGCCTCGAAGGAGCAGGTTGCTTTAATCCTCTCCATTACTACAAGCTCTTGCGTCAAACCGGCGGGACTCTGTCAACCTGTTCTGGCGCTTGGGCTGTATGTAACCAGCGACAGGCCCCGCCTTTTCGACTCGCGGCGGATGGCACGGAGTTGAGCAAGCGCCACAAAAGCCCTCGTCGTCGTCGCCGCGGTTCTCCTGTTTTCACCAGCCGCTGAGCCAATTGCGCCTTTCTCTTCCGCCGCTGCTGCTATTACTGCTGCTGCCGCCGCCATGGCCTCAGGGACCAAGCCTCTGCTAGGGCACGTCTGCGTAGTGACCGGCGCCTCGCGGGGCATCGGGAAAGGCGTCGCGCTGCAGCTGTCGGAAGCGGGCGCCACCGTCTATATTACGGCCCGAAACCGGGAAACTCTGGAGCAAGCGGCGGCGGAGGTGCAAAGCCGGGGCGGCAAGTGCGTGCCGGTGGTGTGCGACTCTACTCGAGAGGAAGACGTGGCTGCGTTGTTCCAGCGCGTCCGACAGGAACAAGCCGGCCGCCTGGATGTTTTGGTCAACAGCGCTTTCTCCGCAGTGACCACCCTCTCCAAAGAGATCGGTGTGCCGTTCTGGGAAACCGAGCCGTCCCTCTGGGACACAGTCAACAACGCCGGCCTGAGAGGCAATTATTTCTGCGCGGTGCATGCCGCCCGACTCATGGTGCCCGCCGGGCGCGGGCTCATTGTCATCATCTCCTCGCCCGGTGGGCTGCGGTACATGTTCGACGTCCCGTACGGGGTGGGAAAAGCTGCCTGCGACCGCCTGGCGGCTGACTGTGGCGTCGAGCTGCGCCCTTTCGGTGTGGCCTGCGTGTCCCTTTGGCCCGGGCTCGTTCGCACTGAACTGGTCGTGGAGCAAGCGGAGGATGTCAAGAAACTATTCAAGAACCTGTCGGAGCGGTTGGCCAATAAGGCAGAGTCTCCCGAAGTGAGCGGGAAATGCGTGGTGGCCTTGGCATCGGATCCGCACGTCATGAGGCACAGCGGCAAAGTGGTCCTCAGTCCAGATCTTGCCCGCCTCTACCGATTTAAGGACGTGGATGGGCGAGACGTCTATAATTATATTTCGGTTCGGGAAATCCTTACCGAATTGATGCCCAAGCTGTCTTCCCTTTTCTGGTTCATTCCCCGCTTTATCACTTTCCCTAAGTGGGCCCTTGCTCTTTATTCCAGCAAGTTTGCTATTTACCCTCCCATTCAGCCTGCGGATTTTAAACCAGTTAAAAAAGAGTGATTCGTGTGGGCCTTAGGAGCATGTTTGGCTACAGGATCAAGCTTTTGTGGGGGGGAAATGATTGTTTTGGTGGGTCCTTCTCAGACTGGTAAATTAAAAATCTGGAAGAGTGAGTTTTTGCAGGAAGCGGGTTTACCCTTCTAAAAACTCTTTTGAAGAATTGCTTGAAGATTTCTCTCTGAAATGAAAGCTTTAGGAGATCATTTCTTACTCTCTGCTTCAATGTTTTTGAGACAGCACTAGCTGCTGTTACTTAATATTTCTGTACTATCTAAAATGCAAGGTTTGGGGTTTATCAATGAATCATTTACATACCGGTACTTGAAAGTGATCCGAACTACTTGCAACTAAGAATACTGTAGTTAAAAGATGTCAAAATATCTGGGAAAAATGCTTTTTTGTTTTGCTTTTACCAATGTTGAGCACATTTATATACCCTGCCAGAGTCTGTTTGTATCCTAGTCTTCATTTCCATAAAAATAATTGTCAATATGAAATGCACGTGATATTATGAAAATTACTTAAAACAAAAATCAAAACTTGGGGGGTGGGGAAGGGCTCCTCTCATCCCTTCCATTCAGTTTTGTCAGATTCTTGGAGACTGTTGAAGTCCCAAGGTAAAGCTTGGGGGAGGAAATCCTTTTATCTGTATCTTTTTCAGCCTTCAAAAGATTCCAAAATTCTGTTCATTCCAAAGTCAAATATTAGCAGAATTAGTCCTGATGAAAGAAAATCCCTTAAAGACAGTAACTATATTAAACCATACAGGGAACTCAAATCAGCAAATATTAGCAAATGTAATCAGAGCGATATCAGAACAAAGTTTACTAAAAACAATTATGAAACAGATAAGGGGGTATAAAACAAAGTCCTGAATAAGGAGGCGAGGGGGTATAAGAAACTCTCACTTTGCTGTATCTGTATAATTCCCAAAGCAACAAGCTTGTTCTTTTCATAAACAAACCATTGTTTGTTCCTAAAAGTTCTGAGGAAGCTGATGTGATCCTTCTCATAAAGTGTGTGCTTACTTGCTAAGTTTTGTATTCGGTTGACAACACCGTGTGGTGGCCACAAATCAATAAAACTTTAAAAGCACTACTTAGATGTTTTATTTTCTTGCTTTTTTCAATAACATACAACTTCTTCACTGCTTAGCACTTTTCATTCAATGGAATAGTTGAAGGCCAGGAAAAACAAGATAAAGTTGATTTTTTAAAATATGGTGATATTCCTAAGTGTAAGTAGAGGCACTGCCCTATCTTAGATCCTTGGGAAGGGCTCGATAATCAGAAAATCTGTGGCTGACTGTGGAATGACCCATAATAATAAAGTTGCATGCCAAACAGGTAAGACGTGGCAAGAGCAGGAAAATTGAAGAGAGAGAAGAACTAATTATGATTGCACAAGACTAAGCCTTAAGAACAAATGCATAAAAAGCCAGAATTATTAAAACAGTAAGCAAATGTCACCACTGCAAAGAAGCTGAAGAAACAGTGGACTACCCTATTAGTTGCTCAAGAAGATCAGACCAACTGGCTACAAACAGCAGCATGACAAAGTAGCAAGAACAATGAATTGGACGATCTGTACTACCATTTGCCTGTAAACCAGGGTTGTCAAACTGGATTTTGATGGCCAGATCAGCATTGTACTTCTCCATGGGCTGGTCAGGGTGGGGTGGGGGGAGATGGGACGGACACCTGCAGCACCCTGCTGGCCAAAATGAGTGTGAGGGAGAGTGCGAGGCCTCCCATCCCATTTTCGGCCTGGACAGCCTCCTGCAGCACTCTGCTGGCCAAAATGGGGCATGGGGCGATGCCTCTGGCAGTTTTCACAAATCGAGTTATAATCATGATATTCAGTGAAAAATAGGATGTAATTTCTGTTGCTATTAAGTTAATTTTCAAACACATCTTCCTGTTAGCAATAATAGTTTAAAGGAATTTTGTTTCTGCTTCTATTAAAAATTAAGATGTGATACTGAGAGCTATGAATAGTCTTGATTTGGGCTCATAGTAGTGTTACAGAAAAAGATTTGCATCCCCCTAGATTACTGAGAATAGAGACCAGTTTAATATTCATATCAACTGAAAACCCATGTTCAGTCCAAGTAAATTTTTAAAAAATCAAGAACCATACATAATAATTAAGTATTTCAATATTTATTATAAAATGTTTTAAAACTGCTATGTACATCACTCAACATAAACAGATCTGCATAAACAGATCTCCTCTGCAGCCTTCAATTTCCTTCATTTTTCAGATATTATTTCAAGGAATTTTCTGTGCTGTGAAGAATTGAGAAGCCTGTCTACGAGCCTTGTAAATGGGAGACACATAAAATAGGTAAGTTACTACAGTATAGTAATTAAAAGAAACAATTATATTCTAATTCAATAAAAATTAATCCTGTGGTTGGATTCTAAAATACTTACAACTTTTTCCTCTTCTGTCAGCATACCATCCACAGACACTATTTGATATTGCTTATGTTTTAAGCCTCCTGGAAGTCTTCGAAATAATTTTAGATTGTTCCCATCAATGCCTTTTAAGAGTTTTTGCATTTCTTCTGAAGGGCAGCCAGGATCAAATATTAGTAGACATAAACTTTTGTTTTTTCTTTCCTCAATTCCAACAACAGTACGACTATGACCTAGTTTCAATGCCAAAAACCAAACATATTAATACACAGTATACATGTAAACAAGAATTACAAACCAATATGGCAAATGAGCCATATTGAACTGCTGCTTATCTAAACAGCTTGTTTTTGGAACTAGGCACTTACATGAATATTCTCAGGAAATGATTTCCACCAAATTATGTTTAAAGCTGCTAATAATACTATATCAGACATGTAATAAATTACAACATAATTACACAACAAGTGTTCAGAAAATGTGAAGCCAGGACTGGAAGGCAGCCTTGCTCAAGAGATCTTCATCAATCCCTCAAACAAACTAAGCAGATTTTAAATTGAATAGTCCTTCAATTCTATGAACATATGTGTTAAGGTAATGATGATTTAATAGCTGACCATCTGCTGTAAGGCTGTAAACCGAGATGATGAAATGAGAATGAGTCAGCAGGGTTACTGCCACTTTAAGAAGCTGTCTATACAAGGGAGGCCATGTGAGGGCCTCTTTCTCTCAGTGTATGCCTCTGTGTTATAGCTGAAGATTGATTGATTGATTGATTGGCTTTGCCTAGTGTGTGTGTGTATGTGTGCGCGCACACACGTACACATACTGTTTGAAAGACAAAATCTCTTTGTACTGTAATCTGCTCCTGGTTGTCTCAACATAGTAATCACACTGTACACACTCTGACAATATGCTATTCAGAACTTTGTAAGAAATCATGAGCATCTTAAAGTGCACTGAGAAACAGACTGTTTTACTATGCTAATGGTGACACAGCACATGAAACATAATATGCACAAGAACAAACTGTTTCAGGAACAAGGTTTAATTTTTTTTAAAAAAATGGTGTTCTAGCATTGCACAATAATTTTCAGACAAGACTGCTCTCAGCCTTTGAACGTTATTCTACAGGTTCAAAGAGAAGGAAGATAAAAAAAAATAATTAAATTCCATTTACTGCAAATATAATTTAATGTGAACTATTGCTCACGACTTCGGCAATGTTGTTAGATGAAGTACTATAAGAATATTTGAGATATTAACTTTTAAAACATTGAAATTTGAATATTCAAGATTCTTTGCTTCTAACATGATGAAGTATGATTCACATAGCATGTAAGAGAATT